AGGGCTGGTCAAAAAAAAAGGCAGTAGGAGGGATGGGTGGGAAAGAGAGTTGAGCGATATAGCTCAGTGTTAAAGTGTGTTACCACACTCTAGAACCTTGAATTTGGTTCCTAGTATATTAAAGGATAAAAAGGAATTGCGGAGCTGGGTGGGTCCCAGTGACTCACTCCTGTAATCTCAGCTACTCTGAGATTCTGAGATCTGAAGATCATGGTTTGAAGCTAGTCCAGGCAGGAAAGTCCATGAGACTCTTAACTTCCAGTAAACTGCCAAAAAGCTGGAAGTAGAGCTGTAGTTCAAGTGGTAGAGTGCTAGTCTTGAACCTAAAGCTCAGGGCAGTGCTCATGCCCCAGAAACACACACGAGAACTGGGAGACATGCCAACCAATCTAGATGTGATCCTTGGAACCATCTTTATTTTTTGTCAGTCATGGGGGCTGAACTCTGGGCCTCAGCGCTGTCTCTCAGCTATTCAGCTCAAGGCTAGGGCCCTACCCACTTGAGCCACAGCGCCACTTCCGGCTTTTTTCTGTTTATGTGGTGCTGAGGAATTGAACCCAGGTCCTCATGCATGCAAGGCAAGCACTCTACCACTGAGCCAACTTCCCAGCCCTTATAAAACATTTTTGAGAAGTTATAAAACTATTGGGACAAATGAAGTATTCAATATTTATTTGCTATTAAGATGGTAATTTTTGGCTGGGAATGTGGCTCAGTGGTAGACTGCTTGCCTTGCATGCATGAAGCCCTGGGTTCAGTTCCTCAGCACCACATAAACAGAAAAAGCCGGAAGTGACACTGTGTCTCAAGTGGTGGAGTGTTAGTCTTGAGCAAAAGGGAGACTGCTCAGGCCCTGAGTTCAAGCCCAGGACTGGCAAAAATGCTAAATTTTTAGGTGTAATATGCTTGCTACATTTTGTGAAATCACTGTAGATGTACATAATTAAAAGTTTGGTAAAGTATGGTTTCTGGAATTTAAGATAATCCAAGAGAAGGTAGAGAATACAATAAAAGAAATTTGCTGAGCCAGGTGCTTGTGGCTCACACTTGTAGTCCTAGCTATTCAGGAGGCCAAGATCTGAGAATTGAGATTCAAAGCTAGCCAGGTTAGGAAAGTCCATGAGCCTCTTAATTCCAATATCCACCAGAAGACCAGAAGTGGAGCTGTGGCTCAAGTGGTAGAGTGCTTGCCTTGAGCTGAAGAGCTCAGGGACAGTGCCCAAGCCAAGAGTTCAAGTCCCATAACGAACAACAAAAAAAAGTATAATACAAATGATAACTTAGTAAGTAGGAGTGGAGATGTGATTCTTAACGTACTTGCTTTGTTGACTGTAGGTTTTTGTTTGAAGTAATCATAAGCAGCTTACTTGGAAAGTATTAAAAGTCCAACAAGCTCAGTAGGAAAGTATGTGAGACTATCTCCAGCTAACCAGCAAAAAGCCAGAAGTGGAGCTGTGGCTCAAGTGGTAGAGTGCTAGCCATAAGTATAGAAGCTGAGGCCTTCAAGCCTCAGTACTGGGGGAAATGGGTAAGAGTAAGGAAAATTAGAAGGCACTTTAGAGATCTGATGGAGTATTTATCACTATTAAAAGGGAGACTTCAAAACTGGAAGAGCGGAAGGGAAGGGGTGACATTATCCAAAAAGAAATAATACTCTTTACCTATGTAATCCCTTTGTATATCACCTTTATAATAATAGTCTTTTTTAAACTAAATAAAAGGGGGACTTCAAAGTACTTTGCTCTCTACAGTGTGTATGGGTATCATCCAATGGGGTAAGGGTCCAAATATGCTTGATTCAGCTGACACTTGTCTGTCATTGAACCTTAAACCCACATCATTCATTGTTCTTGATATTTGCTTATATAATTGTGAGCAAATTCCTTACACCAAATCTGACTGAATGTATGTCTTGTGTTTTTTTGGAAAATTCTAACAAACTTTCAAAGCTGGCCAGGCAGCAGTGGCTCATGCTTGTAATCCTAGCTACTCAGAAGACTTCGATCTGAGGATTGCAATTTGAAGCCAGTCTAGGCATAAAAGTGTGAAACTCATCTCCAATCAACTGGAAGTACAGGTGTGGCTCAAATGGTGGAATACCAACCTGGAGTGGGAAAAACCAAAGGAGCAGTTGCAAGGCCTGGAGTGCAAGCCCCAGTACCAGCAACAACCCTATCTGTCCCCCAACCCCCAAGTAAATTACAAAATGTGTGTGTGTATATACACACACACATATACATATACAAAAATCTTTCAAGGCCATTTGCACTTTTATCAACTTTACAGGTAAGCAAAATGCTACATGTTCATTTCTACCTACAGGGCAGGTACTGTTGTTCCCCCTACCCAGCCAAGTAGCTCTTCCTTTCTCATAGAATCAGATTCTTTTCAGGGAATGCTTAGTTCCTTTTCCTGGTTCACAAGGATGAATCTTAACTAAGCCAGTAACTCAATTGGGGTACTTCAGAAATTCTGGGAGACATAGTACATGCATTCAGCAGGTGACAGCCAACCAGAAATACTGTCTCCCAATACTATTAAAAATTCTTCATAATTAAGAATTACTGTATAACTCTACAAGATTTCCATCAAGTGTTCTTAAGGATGAAAGCCTAAATTGATTTACATAACCCCCCCCCCTTTTTTTTTTTTGAGACAGAATCTTGCCAAGTAGCCTATCCTAGCCTAAAGTCTTACCTCCAAAGTTTGGGGAGGGGAGGTGTCACCACATAAGAGAGCCCAAGAATCTTTTATATGGGTGTTAAGTACACTGAGCTGTCACTGTATAAAACTTCATAGTAGGGGCTGGGAAGGTGGCTCAGTGGTAGAGCGCTTGCCTTGCATGCTCAAGGCCCTGGGTTCGATTCCTCAGCACCACATAAGCAAAAAGAAAAAGCCGGAAGTGGTGCTGTGGCTCAAGTGGTAGAGCGCTAGCCTTGAGCTGAAGAGCTGAGGGGCAGCGCCCAGGCCCAGAGTTCAGGCCCCACGACCGGACCCAAAAAAAACCCAAAAAACTTCATAGTAAAATATTAAACTTTTGTTTCCACTTTATTTTTAAATGCCATTTATTATCTAATACCTATACAATTATTATTGTAAGGAGGGATCTGTAAATATACAAAAATAGGACTCATTACTTCTATCTGCTGATTTAGCCTATGTAAAAGATTACTTATGTAAAAGATTATGTAAAAAGATTACTTATGTAAAAGATTACTTTTATATCACTTGTTCTTCATAAAGCCTCACTTGATGGTAGTGACAGACATGTTATTTTTCTACATGCTGAAAGATCAAATATGACAAATATGAGGATATGTTACCATATCCTCAACTCTAAGATGCCACTATTACTGCTTTTCTTCCTTCCCTCTTTATCTTTTTCCTCCTCCTGCGTGTGTTCTTTAAAAATATTCCTACTTTAAGTAGGAATTTAATGCCAAGTACATAACTATAATCCTACCACCTGGGGAAGGGAAAAGTAGGTAGGAGGATGGCAAGTTCCAGGCGAACATGTTGAGAATTTGTCACAATCATTTAAGCCAGGTGTTGGTAGCTCGTCTGTAATAATCTTAGCTATTCAGGAGGCCTAAATCTGAGGATTGTAGTTAAAAGCCAGTCCAGGAAGGAAAGTGCGACTACCAAAAAAGCTGCAAGCAGAACTGTGGCTCAAGTGGTAGCATGATCCTTGAGCTCAGTGACAGTGCCTAGGCCCGAGTTCAAGCCCTAGGACCTACATGCACACGAGAAACACTAAAAGATAGCAACACTATATAAAGGAGTGGTTTAAACCCATTCTCCATGTCTGTGACAGGGAAAGTTGTCGATGTGAGAATTCTGATCATTTGAAATGCAAAGGTGATATATAGCCACCTTTTCTGTCTGAGGTTGTTAGCATTGTAAGAGCTATATTACTGGCCTTGTGGCCCGTATCTGTAATACAGCATGAGAAGTGGAAGCCAGCCCAGGCCTGGCTTGTTAATATTTGGGACAGTCCAACACACTGGGGAATGGAAAAACACCAAAAGGAAAAAAATCCGGGCTCCTATTATTTTGCCAGCCCTGGGCTTGAACTCAGAGCCTTGGCATTGTCCCTGAGCTTCCTTTTTTTTTTTGGTTGGTCGTGGGGCTTGAACTCTGGGCCTGGGTGCTGTCCCTCAGCTCTTCAGCTCAAGGTGAGCGCTCTACCACTTGAGCTACAGCGCCACTTCCGGTTTTCTGGTGGTTTATTGGAGATAGGAGTCTCACACTTTCCTGCCCGGGCTGGCTTTGAACCGCGATCCTCAGATCTCAGCCTCCTGAGTAGCTAGGATTACAAGCCTGAGCCACCAGCGCCCAGCTCTCCCTGAGCTTCCTTTGCTCAATGCTAACTCTACCACTAAAGCCACAGTGCCACTTCTGGCTTTTTCTGTGTATGTGGTACTGAGGAATTGAACCTAGGGCTTCACACATGCTAGGCAAATACTCTACCGTTAAGCCCTCCTGTTATTTTTGACTAACTGAAATCTTACTAATCTATACTAATGAATAATATTTTGGGGGGTTTTCTTCCTTTAATCCTGGTTTGAATGTGGGGCCTCACTTGAGATTGGCTTGTGCTCTGCCACTTCCAGATCATTGTTTTGCTGGATATTTTGGAGATGGAATCTCATAGACTTCTCCAAATCCTAGCCTCCTAAGTAGGTGGGGTTACAGAAGTGAGCCATAAAGCTCCCAGCATATAAGTTTCATTAAACATTTCTGGTTGCGTCTTTTGCTTATTAAAACTAGAAATAAATTGAAAATGTCAGTCCCAAGTTTTCACATTACAGAAATCTCAAAAGAGCCTTGTAACTAACTAGGCTTGTCTATGCTGGTAACACCATTTTGCACCAATCCTTTCAACTCCTGAATTTGTTTCCATTTTAGCCAGTTAGAAAATCCTGTTTAACTTCTCCCATTGGGAAATATAGAAAGTATGACATGTCATAGTCCCAAAGTCAACCACTCACTGACAAACATCAAGATGTTTTTCAAATTTATTTATTTTAAAAAAAAAATCCAGAATGGATCAAAAAGAACAATCATCAAGGATGTAGGTGCCAGACACAGGCCAAGAAAATAGCTAGAAAAGTATGCCTTGGGAACATTCAGGACTTCATCTCTACCTTAGTTTTAAAAGCTATAACCTAACATAAATAGCTTTGTTTTCCACTGACCTAGCTTCTGCACCTACAAATGTGGCATAGCTAGCTGGCTTGCTTTGCAAAGGCCTCAGTTGAAGGACCACATTTACACACAGGTCATTCATTACAGTATCACTTTTGGCCAACTAAAAGGATCTTAACTTCCATATGGTCTCATGCTAGGTACATGGCAGACTACCTTCATTCTGTATGAAATGTTTTCATCCCTTGAAAATATGGCCACTTCAGCACAAACTGATCGTTAAGTGATCAATAAACTGTCTCCCTACCCCCTTACATGCTTAAAAGTGACAGGCTAGGGACAGAACATTGTGAACTTTCTACCGTTAGATTTATCACTCATTAATGATTGGTTAGCTAATTTACATTAAGGAAATTATATATAGAATACTGCAAAAACACAGTAAAAAGACTGACATTTGCTCATTTCTGCTCAGAAGTCCCTTCACTCCCAAGCTTCATAGTATGCTGTCCTCTCCACTCCAAAATGTACTGTAACTATTACTGTTTCTCCTCCTTTTGATCTTCCTTTTGTTCCCCAGTGCCAGAACTTCCAGAGCCTTCTCGTTCAGATGCCATCTGTTAAGAAAATATTTGAAAACCATTCAAACTTACACAGTAGGGCTGTTTTCTCTGTTGAGTACCAAAAATGAAGAAACATCCTATCCTACAATTCTAGACTCAATTGTACATTATTGGTGTTCCCTGTGATTTCTTTTGCCAGTTAGACTCACTCCAACAGTCAAGAGGGCAGGGGATTTACTAAACTATAATACTCGATTCCCTATCTGATTATGAAGGGAGACTGACAAGTTATTAAGAGCAATTCCAATTATAATCTGAATTAAGTTCTAACCAAACACTTGTTTTTGTTTTGGGTCTGGTCGTGGGGCCTGAACTCTGGGCCTGGGCGCTGTCCCTCAGCTCTTCAGCTCAAGGCTAGTGCTCTACCACTTGAGCCACCTGTTTGTCCTTTCCTCCTTAGTGCTGGGCTTGAAAGGCAAAACCTTTTAATACTCTACCACTGAGCTACTTGTACCCCAGCCCGTCCTTCCCTTTACCTTTTTGTATGCCATTTCAAAGAGCTTCAGTGATGCTTGCTGAAGGGAAGATGCTGCCTGCCTAATGTTTTCTCCTGTTTCACTGTCTTTTCGAGCCAAGAGCTCCCTCATTTTGGATATTTCTTCTTTTAGCTTGTTGCACTTAAAAAACAAAAATCAGAATATAAGTTTCCCATACCACCATCACTTGTAACCGTAATTTTCAGAAACATTAAAATGAAAACTGAAACAAGCTTTGATGCCATTGGTGATAATGCTCTTTTTTAAAAATAACCCACCTCATCAGCAGGCAGTTGGTCTTTGAATTCTTCCATCTTTGTTTCCGTGTCATGAATAATTCCTTCAGCCATGTTAACTGCTTCAACTCGTTCCTTAGAGAAAAAAGTTTTAAGCAGTTAGTACCTACTGCATACAGGTACAGTAAAAATGGAGAATTCACTGTGCTTCGAGGTAGAATGGCTTTTCAGAGATCTGAGCTAGATTCTGTAACATGGAAATTTTGATAAAACTCTAAAAGACCAAAAACAAAGTAACCACCCCTCCCCCCCCCAAAACACACACACACATACACACATATACACACACATACGACAAGGCTGGGCACTGGTGGCTCACTCTGTAATTCTAGCTATTCAAGAGTCTTGAGATCTTCTGAGAATCACAAGCCAGCCAGGGCAGTAAAGACCGTGAGTCTCTTACCTCCAATTAACCACCAAAAAAGTTGGAAGTAGAGTATGGCTCAAGCTTTGAGTAAAAAGCTCAAGGACAGTACCCAGGATAGTACCCAGGACTTACAAACTGACAAACACACAAACCACAAGCCAGACATGGTAGCTTGTCTGTAATCTCAGCTATTAATTAGGTAGGCTTAAACAAATGGGTTGAGTACAGGAGTTTGAAGCCAACTTGACCAATAAATATATCAAGACCTCAGACATTCTACAGTTATAAGGGGAAGGAATAGTAAACTGGGGTTGAGGAAAGCAAAATAAAAATCAGTGATATGGCCCAAACTCACATCTATGCCCCATGCCCAAGTCTTACTAATATTAAATTTAGAAGAAAGGCCAAAGCAATCACCTTCTTTCGACGGTCTTCCTCCGCATACTTCTCTGCATTTTTAACCATATTTTCAATATCATCTTTGCTTAACCCACCAGAAGACTGGATTACAACTGTAATTTAAAAAGAGATGGAAAAAGGGTGAAAGAAGGAAGAATCTCTTCAGCTTTTGTCCTCTACCTAGAAAGGAATTCCCTATTGCCCTATAATCAAACCAAGAGTCCAAAATATAGGAAGATCAACTGGTCTGCCTGCCTACTGAAACCTGTCTAATCTACAGACTTATTATTACTCCTTCCTCCCAAACATCACACTTCCAAAAGCAAATCTGGTACCTAAGAAAGGGCAAAGATTTCATCCTTCCCCTAGAATGAAGGGGAAAAGATAATGCTACGAGTTTGTTTACCAACAGATGTCCTCCATCTTATTCATTGTCTGATAAATGAAGACTTACTCTGCTGCTCCCGTCCTGTGCCTTTATCTTTGGCAGAAACATGTACAATTCCATTGGCATCAATGTCAAATGTAACTTCAATCTGAGGGACTCCACGAGGGGCTGGAGGAATTCCAATCTAGAATAACATCCAGAGTAAACTTCATGAAAGATTTGGTTCAGTATTACCATTTCCCTATCTATATGGTCTTAGGGTGAACAAAATAATTTGCTTTTTGGAAGGAATATCTTCACTTAATGTACAAAAGCAAGTTTGTTAACTGAGGGTTGTAGTTTCATTGCTGCTTAAAATTAACAAGATATAAAATAGCTAAAAGTTTGCTGTATTGACTACAATGGTGATGTACCTTGGGACACAGAGAATGAAAAGCAAACTCCCCACTATAGCTCACCAAAAATTGGTAAGTAATGCTGATAAGAAACTAATTATTAGGGGGGCTCATGCCTGTAATCCTACTCAGAAGGCTGAGATCTGAGGCTCATGGTTCATAGCCTGCTTGGGCAGGAAAGTCTATGAGACTCGTATCTCTAATTAACCACCAGAAGACCAGAAGGGCCCTGTGGCTCAGGTGGTAGATTGCTTGTCTCGAGCTGAAGAGCTCAGGGACAGCGCTCAGGCCCAGAGTTCAAGCCCCATAACTGACAAGAAACAAATAAACTAATAATTATTAGATGTATCTTTTTTTTTTTTTTTTTTTTGGTGCCAATCTTGGGGCTTGAGCCCAGGGCTTGGGCGCTGTCCCTGAACTTTTTTTTTTTTTTTTCGTTGGTTGTGGGGCTTGAACTCTGGGCCTGGGCCCTGTCCCTCAGCTCTTCAGCTCAAGGCTAGCGCTCTACACTTGAGCCACAGAGCCACTTCCGGTTTCCTGAATGGTTTATTGGAAATAAGAGTTTCTTGTACTTTCCTGCCCAGGCTGGTTTTTAACCACGATCCTCAGATCTCAGCCTCCTGAGTAGCTAGGATTACAGGCGTGAGCCACCAGAGCCCGGCTCCCTGAGCTTTTTTGCTCCAGGCTAGTACTCTTACCACTGGAGCCCCAGCTCCAGTTCAGGCTTTTTGGTGGTTGTTTTAGTCATGGTCTTTCCTGCCTGGGCTGGCTTTGAACTATGATCCTCAGATATGTCTCCTGAATAATTAGGATTACAGGTGTGAGCCACCAGCACCCAGCTAGAGTTATCTCTTAGGTGAAATAAGGAATTTCTCTAAGTTCATGCTGTTTCTGAACACTTCACAGAATCTTATAAACGAGACAGAAGTTCTAATGCATTAAATAAGGCATCCAGGTAATAATGGAAATCATGGACAGAATTCTTCTGCATTTCTAATTTTAATATAGTATGTATGTATTTGAGTTTATAGGAGTTGGAAACTATGGAACTTTTATAGCAAAGAAATCAAGGTGTAGAGTATTACTATCATAGTACCTACCAAAGTAAACTGACCAAGAAGTTTGTTATCTCCAGCCATCTCTCTCTCACCCTGACATACTTTAATCTCCACTTGAGTCTGTCCATCAGCAGCAGTTGAAAATACCTAGGAAGAAAATTTCTTGGGTTGTCAATCTGATTAAACTACGCTCTTTATATAGAAGACAAACCAGGGAAGTAATTACAGTCTCATTCCTACATTAACTGGGTCCTAATGTACAATATGTTTAGAACAAAGGCCTATCTAATGTCTTTACAGAGAATAAGAGTAGGATTAGTGTACTAGAAGGGCATATAACAGCTATTGTTTCAACTAAGCAATAGCAGTAGCAAAGAAAGGCATCAAAATAAGGAGATAAATACTGAAGTTTGCTAATCTGGGCAAACAAGGATCAGAGGTAGATGATTTATCATGTGCTCAGTTATAGAAAGTCACCACATACTTTTTTCAGAATGATGTGTTGACAAAACATCACTGCACAAACAGGAGCAATACAGTATTTCAGCAGTACAATATTTACTGGTTAGCAAAAGTATATACCACTACGCTGAAATAATTTTTAATCCAAGACCAAGCCATACCCATAAAACTGTTTGATAGCTCACCACCACACCATCCACCCCTATCATTCCACCCAGAAAACAAGCAGTCTCATATAGTCTAGCCACAGCAGTGTTTTTCCTGCTTTGAGAACAGAAGAGAATACAAACAATGAGATGGTTTAGAAGATGACTATCAATGTCTATTCTAAAAGCATTGCTGCCTCCTGATGTAGTAACTTTCAGGAACAAAAAAGGGAAACAAAGCTAAGAACTTGTCTGGGTTGTAAACAAAGTAAAAATAACTCCAATCATATCACTCACAGAACACTTCTGCAAGGAGGATGAAGGATGGTTCTTACCTGGCTCTTTTTGGTTGGAATGGTGGTATTCCTGTTAATAAGTTTGGTAAACACACCTCCTAGAGTCTCAATACCCAGAGACAGGGGAGTAACATCCAGAAGTAGCACATCTGTGACATCACCAGCTAACACACCTCCCTGAATGGCAGCTCCAATCGCCACAGCCTCATCAGGATTAACAGCTTTACTTGGGGCTCGGCCAAAAAGATCTTGCACAGTCTGCTGAACCTAATATAAAGAAGAATCTGTTACTCAACTCTCAGGGCAACTGGCACAGAAGAGTAAGATAGAGAATGTGTCCTAAAATATCAGCCAGATCTCAACATATTAACTCAAATGGAAGAATGCTTACTCGGAGGGATAATGGAAGGAGCAACACTGATCAAGAAGCATTGTACTAACCTGAATTATGGAACTATAACTTCTTTGTACAATTGATAATATTATTTATTCAAATTACTTCTTTCAGTTGAATTGTTAAATGTTTTGGTAATACAATTTAGTCATAGAATATTTTATTCATTGTCTATTTTAATTTGGAAAATATAGTATGTTTCTCCATATATTAAATCAAGTGAAACAGGGTACAAGACAAGGGGACTTATCAATTGAGAGGGCTATCTCTTGTTCTATACAGCATTACTAAAACCAACTTAAAACAGCATTAATAGTTAAATATGTTAAACAATGTTAAAATGGGGACATAAGACAGGTGCCAGTGGCTCTCATCTGTAATCCTAGTAGCTACTCAAGGAGGCTGAGATTTGAGGATCATGATCAAAGCCAGCCCAGGCAATTAAGTCTATGAGAGTCCTTATCTCCAATTAACCACCAGAAAACCAGAAGTGGCCCTGTGGCTCAAGTGGTGGAGCATTAGCCTTGAGCTGAAGAGCTGAGGGACAGCACCCAGGCCCAGAGTTCAGCCCCACAACAGACCGCACCCCCGCACCCCCCCAAAAAAAAGATTCTCCTTGACACTTTTCCCTCCAGGTTTCCCTCTGGGTTTACTTTCCCAAGTCAATGTATTTCAATAGAAAAACTAATAAAAAGCCAACATCATTAACCTAGGGTCAAGAAATTCAGAAAGTTTATGTTTATCTGGGCACCACTAGTCTATAATCCTAGCTAGTTAAGAAGCTGAGATATGAGGATGATTTGAAGCCAGCTTGGTCACAAAAAGTCTGAGATTCTTATCTCCAAGTAATACCCTCTTCTACTCCCAGAGCCAGAAGTGGAGCTATGGCAAGTGCTAAAGCACTAGCCTTGACAAGAAAAACTGGGCATCACCCAGGACTAGAGTTCAGGCCCCAGTATTAGCACAATTTTAAAAAGTGTGCCTATTATTTTCTGCACAGTTTTCAGAATGATGTGAATACATAAAATGCATACTATGCAGAAAAGACTTATGACCAAATACCCTCCCCTCTAGGAGTTGACTGTACAAAGTTATTTACATAATCTTTGGCCTCAAATTTTCATTCTTAAAAGCTTAAAAGATGCATGTTCAGGATGCTCCCTTTTCCCACATCTAAAGACATTCTGCTCTTACTAAACCCTTTATTTATACCCTTCAATTAAAGGATGAAGCTAAAAACTGGGACAAAAATCTCATCTCCCTTTTCTTTTCCCCAATCGTGGTGCTTGACCTATGAATTCTAGGCCTAGGCACTGACCCTCAACTCTTCAGTTCAAGGCAAGCGCTCTACCACTTGAGCCACAGCTCCACTTACGGTTTTCTAGTGGTTTATTGGAATTTATAAGGGTTCACGGACGTTCCTGTCCTGGCTGGCTTTGAACTGTGATCCTCAGATCTCAGCCTCCTGCGTAACTAGGACTACATCTTTTCAAGATGACCTGGGAAAGAGAATGGGTCCCAAGAATACATTGTGTACATTTTTTTCCTCCATGATAAGGATCCTTAGGTCCATACCTTAGGCATCCTAGTCATGCCACCAACAAGAATCACTTCTCCTATGTCACTCTTGGTGACTTCTGCATCCTGCATAGCTTTCTGGCAGGGAGCAATAGTCCTCTTGATAAGATCAGTGACGATTCCCTCAAATTGAGCCCGTGTCAGCTTCATATTCAAATGCTTAGGTCCAGAAGCATCCATAGTGAGATATGGCAAGTTGATGTCAGTCTGTCAGGAAATGTTTAATTAAATGTCAGCGGGAAGGCCAAATGGTAGTTAAGTTTCTTTAATACTCCAGTTAAAAGGCGACCATAACCTACGATGTCTTGAAAAAAAGTCTCAGGAAGGGTGAGACTTTAAGGCAATTACTCCTAAGATGCAACCTCTTACTACTCCAGATATCAACAGTATAGAATCTGCTTTAATGATGCCTACAAGTTTTTCCTGTGTAGACAAAAGAAAAAAATTCCTCAGAGATAAAGAACTATGGGTCAGTACTTGAGGGATGGGTTGGCCAGTAAGTGGGGGGAGGAGGCAAGGAAGGATGAATCTGGTATTCTTCTTGTATGAAAACAGAACAATGGCTGGACGTGGGCAGCTCATGCCTGTAATCCTAGCTACTCAGGAGGCGGAGATCTAAGTACCGTTTAAAGCCAGCCAAGGCAGGAAAGTTCATGAGACTTTTTTTTTTTTTTTGCCAGTCCTGGGCCTTGAACTCATGGCCTGGGCTCTGTCCCTAGCCTCTCTGTGCTCAAGGCTAGCATTCTACTACTTGAGCCACAGCACTACTTTCTAGTCTTTTCTGTTTCTGTGGTACTGAGGAATCAAACCCAGGGCTTGATGCATGCTAGTCAAGCACTCTACCACTAAGCCTCATTCCCAGCCCTCAGGAGACTCCAATTAACCACCAGAAAACTCAAAGTGGAGCTGTGGCTCAAAGTGGTAGAATACTAGCCTTGAGTAAAAAAGCTCAAGACAGCTCAGTCCCTGAGTTCAAGGCCCATCACACACAAAAAAGTTGAAACTGTTTTCAAGGGGAATGAATAAAGGAGACGGATGAGTAAAGGAGAGGGATGGAGGTGAGACTGATTTGAATACAAAAGAGCAGGAAGCTGGTGGCTCATGTCTGAATCAGTTCAAAGCCAGCCTGGACAAGAAGTCTGTGAGACTCTTATCTCCAATTAACCACCAGAAAACCAGAAATGGTGCTTTGGCTCAAATGGTAAAGTGGTTGCCTTGAACTGAAGAGCTCAGGGATAGCGCCCAAGCTGAGTTCAAGCCCCACTACTGACCAAAAAAAAAAAAAAAAAGTCACAAAGAACCTCCTGCTGAACAAATAATTTTTTTTTCTTTTTTGGTGCCAGATCTGGGGCAAAAAAAAAAAAAAAAAAAGCAAGGCTGGAAAGGTGGCTCAGTGGTAGTGCTTGCCTTGCATGCACTGGGTTTAATTCCTCAGCACCACATAAGCAGAAAATGCTAGAAGTGGGCTGTGGCCAAGCTGTAGAATGCTAGCTTTGAGCTGAAGAGCTGAGGGACAGCACCCAGGCCCAGAGTTCAGGCCACATGACCATAAAAAAAACAAAACAAACACATGAGATCACCAATTAATCATGAAATAACCAGAAAGAAGTATAGCTGTGGTTCAAATGGTAGAGCACCAGCAAAAGAACCCTAAAGGACAGTGGCCAGGCCTGGAGCTCAAGCCTCAGTATAAGCACCAATAAATAAATGAAGGAAAGAAATTAGGAAGAAAAGAATGAAGTAAGGAAATAAACACACGCTCAGGCTAAATGGGTACATCAAGACTAAGGGAATCTTCCATGTCTCACCTGCACAGATGAAGAGAGTTCACACTTAGCCTTCTCAGCGGCTTCCCGTACCCTCTGTAGTGCCATGTTGTCTTTGGTCAAATCAACCCCTGTCTACAAAATGAAGACACACAATACTAGCATTAGTGAACTGATAAGTACTATTTATACTTTATAACAGTCTTGTGTTTGTTGCCAACCACAAGCTACAATAATCACCACAGGGGCTGGGAAGGTGGCTCAGTGGTAGATTGTTCGCTTTGCATGCATGAGGCCCTGGGTTCTGAGGAATCAATTCCTCAGGTTCGATTCCTCAGCACCACATAAGCAAAAAGAAAAAAAGCCAGAAGTGGTGCTGTGGCTCAAGTGGTAGAGTGCTAGCCTTGAGCTGAAGAGCTGAGGGACAGTGCCCAGGTCCAGAGTTTAGACTCCACGACCTGACCCCCACCCCAAAAAAAAATAATCAGCATAGTTCAATTCACCCATGAACTTGAAATGTAATTATTTCACTACAAAAAACTGTAAGAAAGCAAAAAACAACCTGAATAGAGAAATCATCAAAGTTGCAATGCCTAGAGAAATCATCAAAGTTGCAATGCCTATGTATTGAACTGACCTCTCTCTTGAACTCCTTTACAATGTGTCGTAACAAAGCCTGGTCAAAGTCTTCACCACCTAAGAAAGTGTCCCCATTGGTGGATTTCACCTCAAATACGCCTTTCTGAATTTCCAGGACAGAAATATCAAAAGTTCCACCACCTAAATCATACACAGCAATGCTAGAAAGAAAGGGAAAAAAAACTTTAAGGAACAAAAGTTATCAGGAGGAAATGAAGCTCAACATCAAGTGAAGATAAACCTCTTTACTTCCACGAGGAATAATTATGTTAACTGCCTAAGTATTAGGCTTGAACTCAGGGCCTGAGTGCTTTTAATTTTTCACTCGCGGCTGGAACTCTACAATTGAGCTACAGCTTGGAGTTAGCTTGGAGCTAGGAGGGTCAGGAATTTTTCTGCCTTAGCTGGCTTCACACCATGGATCCTCAGATTTCAGTCTTCTCAGTAGCTAGGATTAAAGGTGTGAGCAACCAGGTTTCAGATTTTTTGTTATTGTTGTTGGTGTGGGCTTAAACTCGGGGCCTAGAAGCTGTCTCTGAGCTCTTTTGCTCAAGGCTAGCCTTTTACCACAGCTCAACTTCTGGTTTTCTGGTGGTTAACTGGCAATAAAAAGTCTCACATACTTTCCTGCCTAAGCTGGCTTTGAACCACAATTCTCAGACCTCAGCCTCCTAGTTAGGATTACAGCCGTGAGCTATCAGCACATGGGCAGGTTTCAAAATTTTCAGTCAACCAGTGTTTATGAAGGGTACTTGCCAATATGCTTACTAACAAAAAAAAAATTACCACGTTTCAACAGTAGAATGGTCTTGAAATAAGCAATGACTTAAATTAAGTCTTAGGGCTGCCTAATCTTAACTCAGGTCATAATTTACAGCATAAACTTACACTTTGTCTTCAGATTTGTCTAGACCATAGGCCAGAGCAGCAGCTGTGGGTTCATTAATCACCCGAAGCACATTTAGTCCTGATATCTGGCCAGCATCCTTAGTAGCCTAGAAAAGATAGAGATTATATACATATATATAGATTGATAAGATATATGTAGATAGGTTTTGTTTTTTTTTTAAAAAAGCACTTTCACCCTTGTGTCAGAAGTACTATTATCTTCTGTGAATAAGATAGGTAACTGGCCTTACCTGTCTCTGTGAATCATTGAAATAAGCAGGGACGGTAATCACAGCATTTTTTGCTGCATGTCCCAAGTAATTTTCTGGAAAAGAATCAAAGAATAAAGCTCACCACAGCATTATTCCAGGTAAAATAAGCAATATGTATCCTCATAACCAAGTGTTATCCTTTTTGAAACCAAAGACATCATTAATCAGTTAGAAAGTAACAGGTAGGGAGACCTTGTAGGATAACACTAACAGTAAAGATATTGTTAACATCTGAGGGGAGGAGAAAAGAGGCAAGAATAGCTTAATGGTAGAATCCTTGCCTACTGTGCATTAGGCCCAATGCTGAATCAGAGGCAGTAAAAAAGGATTTGAGCCAGGTGCCAGTGGCTCATGCCTATAATCCTAGCTACTTAGGAGGCTGAGATCTGAGGACTGTTGTTTGAACCAGACCAAGTAGAAAAGTCAGTGAGACTCTTAAATCTCCTAGTAAGCACCAAAAAAAGCCAATGTGGACAGAGTGCACAAAAAGCTCAGGCCTAATGCCCATGCTCTTAAGTTCAAGGCCAGGACTGGCACACACACACAAAAAAGCCCAGGATATCATATCAGTTAACACTCAAAAACCTCATCTTCATTTCAGTGAAGGTTCACCGTTATACAGTAACATCTAGACTGAAATAACCGCTAGTTTTTAAGGGAAAAAGGCTTAATGTATAACCTTTGGCTCTTAATATAGAACCCTCTCTTTTAATAAGAAAAAAAACATGCCAAGTATCATTGGGAAAACTTCAGTTCTTTCTGCAGGCTACATTTAAAGAGTAACAATATATATATACTTTTTTATCCCTAGGCTTTCTGTACACAAGGCACAATGATTCATCTATAAGACACTACAGAACTAGTAACGTGACAGGAACCATTCAATTCTTTGAACTTTTCCCAGGCGTGAATTAAGTCAACTCACCTGCAGTTTCTTTCATCTTCATCAACACAAATGCTCCAATTTGGCTTGGAGAATAGAGTTTTCCATGAGCCTCAACCCAGGCATCACCATTAGAGGCCCGGACAATTTTAAAAGGAACATTCTTCCTGAAAGACACAAATTATATGGAGAAAGCTAGCTACTATAATCTGTTATGACAAGCATATAATACTATGTCTATTTTCCACCCTAAAAGGAATCAAAAAGATTTTAACTACCTTGCCGGCAATTCCATTGGAAAATGAAGGCATGAGCCACTGGTGCCCAGATCAAGCATTGTTTTTGTTTTGTTTTTGTCAGTCGTGAGGCTTGAACTCTGGGCTTGGGCGCTGTCCCTACGCTCTTCAGCTCAAGGCACCGGAGCCCAGCAAGCATTGGTTGGTTTTTAAACCAAAAATTAACTTAAGTCTGGCAACCAGGGGCTCGCGCCTGTAATCCTAGCTGCTCAGGAGGCTGAGATCTGAGGATCACGGTTCAAAGCCAGACCAGGCAGGAAAGTCAGTGAAACTCTTTATCTCCAATAAACAACCAGAAAACCGAAGTGGCGTGGTAGCTCAAGTGGTAGAGCGCTAGCCTTGAGCTGAATAGCTGAGGGACAGCATTCAGGCCCACAGTGGGTGCTTGAGCATAAAGCATTAGATAATGAGTTCGAATCCCCATCGTCTCCAAGTGGGGAGCGGGGTTGGGATGGGATGGACCACAAAGTTCAGGTCAGGAATGCCTTACTACCTTCATATATCTTATCTATATGATCTATCATGTAGGTCAATATAAAGACCTAACCTGTAAAAGCAAAAAGATTTTATTAAGGAATTATCCTTTGGTAAAGATATGCAGATTCCCCAAGGACAATAAAGTGATTAAATTAAGGTGTAACAGGAACCTGTTCAAAATACTGAAATTTTGTGATTCAGCTAGTACTCACAGGTCTTTCTGTACTTCAGGATCATCATATCGTCGGCCAATGAGACGTTTGGTGGCATAGAATGTATTGTTTGGGTTGGTGACAGCTTGTCGCTTTGCTGGCATGCCAACAAGGCGTTCACCATCTGCTGTAAAGGCAACAACGGAAGGGGTGGTTCTGGCACCTTCAGCATTCTCCAGCACCTAAAATTTCCAAAGTAAGACAAAATATGCTTGCAGCTATCACTGTCATCTTTATAGCAATTGCTTAGGATACAAAGCAACAGCCACATGGAAGGTACAGAAAAGAAAATCAAAGATGGCTAAAGATGGCCAGCTCAGCTGTGCAGGAGAAAAACGTGGGAAGATCAAGTTCTGAGACTGCTCCCAGCTAAAGCTGGAGACCCGATATTTGAAAAATAACTAAAATAAAAAGGGCAGCAGTGGGGGTGGGCAGGAGGGAGGATATGGGTCTAGTGGTACAGCCCTTGTCTAACAAGCTCAAGGCCAAGTTCAAGCCCCAGTATTGCCAAAACAAAACCGTTATATAACTGGTCCTAAACCATGAAACAAATGCCTATGAATAACAGTACTAATTTGGATGTTTTGTTACTGTAAATGTAGATTCACTAAATATCCAATTTTGAAGACTATATGAATTTAATATATCTTATTGTTTTTAATCCTTTTCCCTAACTTACAAATTATAACAGAAACCAAAGGGGGGGGGGACCACAAAAGCTACCAGGTAGTAAAGCACTAGAGCTCTGAGTTTGAACCTTAGTAAAAGCCAAAAAAATCAGTGCTAGAAAAGTTCTCTTTCAATATGGATGTCACATTTTTGTGGTGGCTACAAATTTCAAGCATATAGAAAAAAATGCCAAAAAAGTATAAATTACGACTAAGGAAGGGATTATTACTCTGGCTTGGTACCCAAGTGCAGTAAGATTCCTATACACAGCTCAGATTGTCTCAGAGGAGGGCATGGTACAAACAGGAAGCATTAAACTTTCATAAACGGAAGAGGCAAGACTGCAGTCTCAGGTACTCTAAATCTTAGTAACAATCCAGAGAATAAAAGTTCCATGTACATCACTTCACCTCTATGTAGCAGGAACATGTTAGACATGGAAATCTACTTCCATTTGGTCCACACATCCAAAACTGTTCCAAGTGACCTCTAAAATTGCAAGACTTTATATAGAGAGCAAGACATTCCAGTATCTTTTCATCTCAGGAAAATACATTTAAATCCTATACCAGGAAGTAAAATGCTTCTGATTATCAGCACCACAAAGGTTTGGGAAGGAGGGTGCAATTTAGAGCAGTTGATCTAAGATGTATGAGGGCCTGAGTTCTACCTCCAGCATCTCAAAAATACTGTAAAATAAACAAAAATAAATCCAAACCCAAAGTAGCTTTTAGAGTGCCAATCAGGTCTCAGAATCCCTTATGTACAAAATGTTGGATTAAAGAAAGTGACTCAGAGTTTCTGATCATACTTACCTTTGCTTGTTTGCCCTCCATAACTGCCACACAAGAGTTGGTAGTGCCCAAATCAATACCAACCACTGCACCCTTGATTGCTTCTGACCTATAAGACATTTAAAACAGTATCATGATTGTTATATTAAAAGTTATCTCCAAAATGACTAGAGAAAATATACTGAAAATTTGATATGGGACTTGATAATGACACATTATGTAATACAAATAAATGGGTAATTGAGAGCAACAGTTACTAACAAATGCAGAGACTAGTGATGGGGGGGGGGGGAGGAGAGAGGATGTTTAATAGCTATTACTTTCCTTCAAAGAAAGTTAAGAGCTCAAGGACAGCGCCCAGACCCAGAGTTCAAGTCCCATGGTCGACAGAAAGAAAGAAAGAAAGAAAGGAAGGAAGGAAGGAAGGAAGGAAGGAAGGAAGGAAGGAAGGAAGGAAGGGAAGGAAGGAAGGAGAGAGAAAGAGAAAGAAAGGAAGGAAGGAAGGAAGGAAGGAAGGAAGGAAGGAAGGAAGGAAGGAAGAAAGGAAGGAAGAAAGGAAGGAAGGAAGGAAAGTTATGCCTGGCACCTGTGGCACATGCCTGTAATCTTAGCTACTGAGGAAGCTAAGATCTGAGGATTGCGGTTCAAAAGCCTAGCCCAGGCAGGAAAGTCTGTGAGACTATTATCACCAATTAACCACCAGAAAACTTGAAGCCAAGCTGTGGCTCCAAAGTAGTAAAGCACTACCCTAGAGCACAAAAGGTCTGGGATAGCACCATGCCCTGAGTTCAAGCCCCACAACCAACAACAAAAAGAAAAGGAAATTATACTTACGCATAATCCCTCCTGGAAACAAATCTAAAAGCCTCATGACTAAGGCCATTCCAGCTATCCTGAAAAATTAAAAAAAAAGAAAAACGTCATCATTTATCAACTACATAAGGGAAATTTGTTTTGTTTTGTTAGTCCTGGGCCTTGAAGTCAGGGCCTGGGCACTGTCTCTGAGCTTCTTTTGCTCAAGGCTAGCACTTTACCTCTTGAGCCATAGCACCACTTCAGGTGTTGAGGAATTGAACTCAGGGCTTCATGCATTGCTAGGCAAGCACTACCACTAAGCCACATTCCCAACCCTACATGAGGAAATTTTGGCTTGTTCCAATTATTATCCAGAGGAACTGAGTTCCTCAGGATTATCCTGAGTAGGCAGCCAATATAAAGCACACAGACAAAAATGCTTAGCATAGGTAAAAAGTAAATACAGTTGTCTTGAAGCACATTACAATAGGGCTTTATTCAACCTTGGTGTTATTGATCTTAAGACAAATTTTTCCTTGTTGTGGGGGCTGTTCTTGAATTTTAGGATGTTCAGAAGCAACCATGACCTCTACTCAACTAGAAGCTAGAATATATTATCCTCAAGTCACAATAACTTATCTCAAGCCCTTGCCAAAAAGCCTCTGGGGACAGAGTACTTCTGGTTAGGGACTAATGCACACATACTTCTCAGTTGTCCTTGTAGAAGTGTGTATCTTACCCTGCATGTGTGTACTCAAGTTTAGAGTAACCACGGTTACTAATTTGGTGGAGTATTTAAAAAATTCAAAAAAGATTAAGTAGTGGCCTTCCACGGAATAAAAACCCTTACTTTCACAACTTAACCTGACTGTCTCAAGCATTCCACAATGCCCACCACTGACTGGAGAGCTACAGTTCCCATTCCCCCAAGAAGCACTTTTTTTCTTTGATAACGGGTAACTCCCTTCACCCAATCTGCCATGTTCCAAATAGCCAATGGGTACTATCCCACAGAAAACGTTTTGAAAAGATGCTCCTTAGTCAAAAATCGGACTGAGACTCTATCTCCCACTTCTTGTTTAATGAGCTCCCCCCCCGCCCCCGCTCTTTTAATAGCAATAACGAGAGCATCGGGGGCGCTGCTTTACAGAAAAAGCCAACCGTACTCTCAGGTTAAAATAGAACCTATACTAGCTCTCCCACTCATCTTTGTTCTGGGGGTAAAATCCATCCAACCCTCCAGATTGGGGCTGCCAGGACCACTTATCTTCTAATTATTAGAATCTACATCAGGAGGAGTGTGACTCAGCAGGGCCCAAGGCACAGCGGTAGAACTCTGAAGAAGGCCTTGATCCGGCAGCACAAACTGTTAGGCGGTTCGTTATGTGGTTCGCTCTCTTCCTTTCCTACTCATTGACCTCGAAGGGCGTACGCGGCCTGCTCCGCTGACGGCTGAGGTTTTGAGTTCCGAAGGAATGCCCGGAAGTTCCTTACCTGGTGGCGGGCGGCCGTGGGGCCCCGGGAGGCTGCGGCGCCCACGAGCCGGGCTGCTGCGGTTCGGCTGGCGCTTATCATGGTGGCGGGACGGATGGAGCTCTAGAGGCAAGAAACCACCTCGTAGGCCCGGAGCTGCGCAGCACTGTGGAGGCAGCGCTTCTGGAAACCTCCAACCACGTGGGGTGGGGGGGCGGGGGTTGGTCACTGCGCCCCAAAGGCCCGCTTTTCCGCTAAGGTGTCCTCAGCACAGCCTGATCAAAAAAAACTACTTTACTTACGCTTCTGGTACCACAAAGTGGCAGTAATGAGCTCTAAAGCAGAAGTGTAGAAAACTGCAACCCTCTAGTTATACGTGCATAGGCTGTGGGTTCAGTAAAGAGCGCGAAGAGACGAGACCATTCAGGCAGTACTCCAGATAGTCCTGGTCCTCGGTGGCAGGAAAGACTCAAGGTCACACGGGATAAATTGCGAACGGATTACAGTCTCCTTGCGTCAGTTGCGCGAAAGGTGGAGCCTGTTGCGCCTGCGCAGGTGGTGTCCCGCTAAAGTTCTGGAGCGCATGTGCGGGGGGCGTGGCAGTCATTGGACGTTTCAGCTCACAGGCTTTGGTCGGCACGCTTCAGGGTGCGAGCCCGGGCGCGTACACGTGGCGCGCGCGCTTGGACGGTTTCCTTGGCTCCAGCTCTTCGCGGAGGGCGCCATCTTGTCCTGGGGCGTACTTAAGTGTGAGCGTTAGAACATTGGTTACTTGGTTCCACCGTTTGTTAATATACCTGGATTTGCCCACCTTGGACAAATTCGAGCTGCGTTATACCACGGAATCTCGGTTCGCCAGCCTTTTAAGGAGTGTTTCCTTTACACAGCTTTAGGTTGGTTTAAGGCTAATTACTCAACCATTAGAGGAAATCAAGTGACCTCGAGATCTGTGCTGGGCCAGGGGCTCTTTTTCTGGCCATTTTCTAACCTTACTGGTTGCAAGATTCAGTTGCCATGCAACCTGTGACCGGTGTCGGGTTTCTAGTAATTAAAATAAACTACCATGTTTTATTAATCAGGTGGGGGGGGGCAATAGGAATTCAATAAAAGCAAAACATGAGCTCACTGGTGAGAAGCCTGATATTGAATTTGGTTTTGGAGATGAAACAGATTTGTCCTCTTTCAAAATAGGAGGAAAAAAATGCTTTAGGTCTCTACCTTCTTCAGATAAATACTGTATTACTAGTGATCATCACTGTGTGGTGAATTATGAAGGAAATGAGGGAAATTGGGAGGGAAGATAACTGAGTCATTTACACTCGAGTTGGAAATTGGAATAAGAAAAAGATAGGCATTGCAATACTTGTCTGCAATCCCCAGTCCAAGCATCCGTGAAAAGCGGGAGGTACAGGCTGATTTGTGTTACATAATGAGTCAGTGGCTCTGAAAACCAGAGATGGTGATGTAATTCAGTGCTGATGTGCTTGCTTGACATTGTAAGACTCTAAAGTTTAATCTCTAGCATTACAAAAAATAAATTCAAACATAACATTGGCCATAGACTTCGAAGATTCTAAATCTGGGCACTGGTGGCTCAAGTCAGTAGTCCTAGCTACCTAGGAGTCTTGAGATCTGAGGATCACGGTTCAAAGCCAGCTTGGGCAGGAAACTCCATGAGACTCTTATCTCCAATAAGCTATTGAAAAAAAAGTCGGAAGTGGCACTGTGGCTCAAGTGGTAGAGTGCTCCCCTTGAGCAAAAGAAGCTCAGGGACAGCACGTAGGCCCAGGTTCAAGCTCCAGGACAAGCAAAAATAAAAAGGCTGAGACATGAGGATGGCAGCTGGAAACCACAAATCCTCAAGACTATAATTAACTAGCAAAATGTTGTAAGTGGAGTTGTAGCTCAAGTGGTAGTGGGCCAGTCTTGAACAGAAAAGCCAAATGTGAACATGAGGCCTGGAACTCAAGCCCCAGTACTAGCCAAAAATAATAGTACAATTCAAAATTTTGTGTTTTTTTTTTAAAATCCACTTCATCAAGTATTAACTGCTATTATCCTTACTTATTTACTTAGCATACTTTAAAAAAGAATTCCCTCAAAGATGTTTTCCTAAAGGTCATCAAAGTTAAAGTATCCATGACCCTGTTTGTGGAGATTTATATTTGTAAAGCAATATGTTGATGCAAGAGAACACAGAAACAACAAATACTACTAAATATGGAAGCAAAAGTTGAGAACATTACATCTTTATGTTGTACACAGCAGGGAGAAAGAAAAGAAAACGTGAAAAATAATTGAAGTTGTTGTATTCTCATGTCTCTTTTCTTTGAGAGTTAGGAGTTGGACTTTTGTTCTTCTTTCTAGCTAAAAAGCCAGAGTATTGGAAGTGGCTCTGTGGCTAAAGTGGTAGAGCAAAAGCCTTGAGTTGAAGAGCTGAGGGACAGCGCCCAGGCCCAGAATTCAAGCCCCATGACCTGACAAAAAAAAAAACAAACTAGAGTGTTAACACTGGAATCAAGAGTGTCTGAACCCAGTTAGTGGTGCATCTCTGTAATCTATCACACACTTGTGAAGATGCAAGACCTTGGGTTTGATCCTCAGCATCCTGATTCCCCTAAAAGAAATATGAGATTAGTATTCTATAGACTATTTATATGTATTGCTCCAGTTTCCTTGCAAATACTCTCCATGACCACAAGAGGGCTCTAATACTAGCCCCAGAAGAGGGCCTCTCCTATTTGTAAGTGTGAAGGACAGGCTTATGGGCTGCTGTGCAAATGAACATGGCCTACAGCCTGAAGGCTAGAAGAAATTAGTATGAATCTAAGAAAACATAAAGACTGAATAAAAATGACAGATTCACAGTCAAGTAGTATAATTCTTCAATATGCTGCTTTGTAGTTTCCTCTGATGGCATTTCACTGTCACTAGGAAATGGAAAGAGCTGGTACAAAATTTGTATGAGGATAAATATTCAGCAAACAGAACAGGTGATTATTCCAATATTTGTTCATACTATATTTTTAACAACATTCTGGGGGTGGGGGTGCAGCTCAGTGGTAGAGTGAATGCTTAGCATGCACAAGACTCCAGACTCACAAGACTCCAGACTTAATCTACAGTACCTCCCAAAAGAAATATAATAAGAATATAATATTCTAAGAGGCATGATTGTTATTTTAAACGTATTTTAAAACAGCTAACTGGTTTCAAGATAAAGTAGTTTGGGGCTGGGAAGGTGGCTCAGTGGTAGAGCACTTGCCTTGCATGCCAGAGGCCCTGGGTTCGATTCCTCAGCACCACATAAGCAAAAAGAAAAAAGCCGGAAGTGACGCTGTGGCTCAAGTGGTAGAGCGCTAGCCTTGAGCTGAAGAGCTGAGGGACAGCGCCGAGGCCCAGAGTTCAGGCCCCATGACCGGACCCAAAAAAACAAAGATAAAGTAATTTATTTCTGGCCATTAATAGTCATAAGAATAGTAATCACAGCCAAATGCTGTGGCTCATGCATGTAATCCTAGCTATTCAGGAGGCTGAGATGTGAAAATCAGGGTTCGAAGCCAGCTCAGGCAGGAAAGTCCATGAAAATGAGACTTTTTTCTCCCAGTCCTTGGGCTGGGTGCTGTTCCTGAGCCTCTGTGTTCTCAGGGCTATTGTTCTACCACTTGAGCCACAGTGCCACTTATTTCTGAGTAGTTTAGTGGAGATAGTCTCATAGATTTTCCAGCCAGGGCTGGCTTGGAACCTTGATCCTTAGAGCTCAGCCTCCTGAGTAGCTTGGATTATAGTGTAAGCCACAGGTTCTAGGCTCCTAAGACTCTTATCTCCAATACCACCAGACAAACAGAAGTAGACTTGTGATTCAAAAATGGTAGACTGCTAGCCTTGAGCATGAAGAAGCTCAGAGACAGCACCCAGACCCCTAGTTCAAGCCCCACACCAAAAAAAAAAAAAGTGAATAAAATGGTTTCTATGTCATCTGTTTAAAAACTTTTCTTTAAAAATATAAACAATGGGCTGGGAAGGTGGCTCAATAGTAGAGTGCCTGCCTTGCATGCATGAGGCCCTGGGTTCGATTCCTCAGCACTACATAAGTAGAAAAAGCCAGAAGTGGTGCTGTGGCTCAAATGGTAGAGCGCTAGCCTTGAGCTGAAGAGCTGAGGCACAGCGCCCAGGCCCAGAGTTCAGGCTCCACAACTGACAAAAAATATAAAACTTGATCCTATAAATTATATTACAGAATGAACTTTCAATTTTTTTTGTTCTTTTGCAGTACTCAGGACTGAACCTCAGAACCTTGAACATGCCAGGAAGGCACTCTACTATTAAACAACAGCCTGGTACTAAATTTTCTCTAAGGTTGTCCTGGAACCTAAACTATATTTAAACATTTTAAAGTATTGTAACTTTAAAAAATTCCCATTGCCTAAAAAAAATTCCCATTGCTGTTAATAATGGATTAGACCAGCATTATAAAACACAGAAGTACAACAGAAGTATATCAAAGCCTAGCAGTTAATAGTGTAAGTCCTGGAGTGGTGCACACTTGTAATCCCAGGACTTGTGAGATTGAAGCAGGAAGATTGAGAGTTTGAGGCAAGCATGAATTATATAGTGAGATCCTGTCTCAAAAACAAAAAAAGAATTCTAGTTTTACCATTCAATTGCTATGTAACCACAGATTCACATAAGCCTCACTTTCCACATTTGCAAATTGGGAATACCAGCAGTATTTACTTGAGATCATGTAGTGAGCATACTGTTAGCCCAATGAGCTTCCTTCCTTTAGCTTAGCATGCTCCTTCCCCTTTCCCCAGCTTAGCATGCTCCTTTCCTGGCAACTAGGCCCATGTAGTAAAGGCAGTAAATAATCAGCCTCTAACCACAATTTACCTTGAGATAGCACTCCTCTGGAGCAGCTACCACCATATAAGGCTAGGATTACAGGTGTGAGCCACCAGCACCCAGCTTTTATTCAATCTTTCAGAAGATTAATATCATGCTATGGCCTCTTCCATATTTATTTTTTACTAGTATATGTTAGTTATACAATGGGAGTTTCATTGTGACATTTTCATACAGATAAACAATGTATTCTAATCAAATTACCTTCTCATTCTCTCTCTCATTTCTCATCGTCCCCTTCTTATAACAATTTCGACATTTCAGGCTGAGAAGGTAGCTCAGTGGTAGAGTGCTTGCCTTGC